GTTTCTACTCCCCTCTGCCCTGTTTGCTCAGATGGGCCAGAGAACTTTAACCATTGTTTCTTCTTTTGCAGGGTGGCGCGGCCGTTATGGGCACTCGCTGGCCTAGCAGCTTTACGAGACAAATTGGAAGGTTTGCCAATGGATGATGCATGGAATAATTTGTTCTTCTCATGTCATCTATCTAAAGTGCAGGTTGCAGAAGTTGTATTTTTGTGCTGGAGGATCTGGAAAGGGTGCTGCTGGGCAGTCCATGGGGGCATCCAATACCTTCCCCCAGCCCTTTTGCGTCAGTTCCGATACCAGGTTGATGAATGGCAAACAGCCTCAGCAAGCTCGGGAACGGCGGCAGGGGGGGATCTGCCTCAGTTCCCCGGAAACATGCGAGCGCCGAGGCCTGCAGACTGGGGTGTGTTAGCCTCTCGCGTGGTGGACTCCCGCCTCGCGGAATCCCAGGCGTGGCTGGTTCGATTTGACGGGGCCATTAAAAGGGGACGAGGCTGCAGCGTGGGTTTCGTTGGCTTCGACTCCCTGGGCGCAAGTACCTTTGCATTCGGTAAGTATTATGATGGTATCCAGGACCCCTTCCTAGCTGAACTTTTAGCCCTTCGTGATTCTATGGATTGGTGCCTAACCCACGGATTCTTTTCTGTCAAATTCATTGGGGATGCTCAACTGGTGATACGGCGAGTGTTATCCGGGGATCGTCATCATGCAATGGGAGGAGCTCTATTGGAAGATGTGCATCGGCTGGCGCAGGCATTTGAGTTTTGCTCGTGCTCTTATGCTAAGCGTAGCCTTAACAGGGCCGCCCATTTTGTGGCAAAACAAGCCCTTTCATCGGAAGTTCGACTATTGGTCGACTTTCGCACGACGTTAAGCTCTGTATCTTGACTATGTGTTTTTGTTTCTCTTATTGACTATGTTAAAAAAAAAAAAACAATTTTAGTATATGACAGATCAAGATGCATGCTTTATTGAAACAACAAGGGTTATGGGGGTCGCTCTTTGTGAAATAGAAGAAGGCAGCGATCGATAACAATGAGTGGAATACCCTAGAGGAGAAGACTCACTCGACCATCATGCTATCGCTGATGATGACGTCATCATTGAAGTCGCTATTGAGAAGACTGTCGCAGGCTTGTGGTTGAAGCAGGAGAGTCTGTACATGACGAAGTCTTTAACCAATAAGCTGCATCTCAAGAAACGGTTGTTCAGCTTGAGAATGGAAGAAAGTACACCTTTGAGGGAACATCTGGAACAAATTAATTCTATTTTGTTAGACTTACACAATATAGATGTAAAATTTGATGATGAAGATGCTGCCCTAATCCTGATTGTTTATTTGCCGAGTTTGTATGAGAAATTTGTGGATTCTTTTATTGCTGGTAAAAATAGCTTATCGTTGGAGGATGTCAGATATGCTCTTCACACGAGAGAGATCAGGCATAAGGCGTCAAGATCTGGTGCAGGTGGTGAAGCAACGGTGTTAGCTGTCACAGGTGGAAAGGGAAAGAAGAAATCAGGTAAAGGGAGTTCTAATAGGAACTCAAATTCTAAGGGTCCCGATCCATAGCCAAGCGAAGCTTGTCGCATCTGTAAGGAATTGGGGTATTGGAAGTACAATTGTCCCAGAAAGAGAGGGCATCAGAAGAACCAAGATGATGTGTGGTTTCTGGAAACTGCAGCTTCATATCATATGTCTCCGAATAAAGATAGCTTCTCATCCTGCGAGCATATAGATGGTGGTAATGTGGTTACGGCTAATGAAGCTATATGAAAAGTGGTTGGAATCGAGTCTATCAAGATTCGGACACATGATTGTTCGTTCTGTACCGTGAATGAAGTCAGGCATGTTCCACAAATGACGAAGAATATGATTTCCTTGCATCTTCTCGACAACAAGGTTCTTAGTTTCAATGGAAGAGGTGGATTTGTGTTATGTCTGCAAAAGTGCAAGGAAGGTGCTGAAGGGCGTGAAACATGGGATCTTGTATGCATTACAAGGGTCCGTGTTGTCTGGTTTTGCGGCAGTTGCATCATTGCAAGTTCATCAGGAAGATGACCACTCTCTGGCACATGAGACTGGGTCATATGAGTGAACGAGGGATGCAAGTTTTATCGAAGAGGGATCTTCTTTGCAGGCACAAGGTGCAGAATTTGGAATTCTGCGAGCATTGTGTGTTTGGTAAGCTACATTGCAGTAAGTTCCCTAAGAAGGGTATCCCTCGGACGAAGGAGATACTAGGATTACCTCCACTACGACGGTTGAGCTCCTTCACAAGTTGAATCCATTGGAGGCAGCATGTATTTTCTGTCTATTATTGATGATTACTCAAGGTTTACTTGGATTTTCCCGATGAAGCAGAAAAGTGAAGCCTTCATGAAGTTCAAGTAGTGGCAGGCTTTGGTGGAGAATCATACCAAAAAGAAGATCAAGAGACTTCGAACGGACAATGATCTGGAGTTCTGCAGTTATGAGTTCAACGAATTCTGCAAGGATGAAGGGATTTCTCGTCATCGGTGTAACACCTTAGGCGAATCCCACATTGACAAAGCACGGGAGATATCCATGGTTCATAAGTAAGAACCGAACTTAACTGACAAGACGCGTTTTGGGGTGAAATGGAGGAGTTCTTGTGAGAACTCCGAAGTTAAACGTGCTCAATGTGGAGTACAACAAGGATGGGTGACCTTATGGGAAGTCACCTTGAACTGCACCCCAAGTCGAAAACCATTAGGGTCGAGGCCCAAAGCGGACAATATCTTCGTCGGGAAAAAGGTTTGGGATGTTACAAGTGGTATCAGAGCTGGTTTGTTTTATGCATTATGGGTATGTTACTTCCACTCTTGAGGACTGATCACCCTCAAAGGGGGAGAGAGTACTCCATACTTGTAGTTGCACTAAACTTGCCAGTTTGGTTTCTGCATTATGGGTATGTTACTTCCACTCTTGAGGACTGATCACCCTCACAAGGGTAGGGAGTACTCCATACTTGTAGTTGCACTAAACTTGACAGGAACTGGGACCAAAGGTGATGGTGTGTTGCATAGTAGTTGCATTTTGTCAAAATTGATTTTAGTATTGGAAAGAATCTTGAACGTGTAGAAGGTTTTGAATATTTTGTGGAGTTTTTATCTTGTTTTCCAAGTTACTATTTTGGAGAAAGTTTTAATTGTGTGTGGATCAAGTTAATGCTAATGTTTCCTTGTAGCTCAAACAGAATTACTGTAGGTGTCACTGCTAACCAATCGAAAGGCATGAAGGCTAGCTAAGGCCATTGGTATGGACTATGCCTAAATGCAGAGTTCTGGTGGTAGAGATTTTACGAGAGACATGATTCTTGATGTTGTTAGTGGCAATCTACTTTGTAGGTTATTAACTTTGTCTGGTGTGTCATGTTTGTGAACTTGTTGATGTGCTTATTATGTGATAACCCACTATAGGTGTCGAACCTAAAATTGGAAACTTAAGGTGTTATGTGTTTAGTTATATACTTCAGATCCCTAACCTAAGAGTTGGGTAGTAACAAGATATGTGGTGGTATAATAGGAGGGGAACGAATGGATGAATAGTATTGACTCAAGGTTAGTTTTGGGGGACAAAATCTTTTTATGGAGGGGAGAATTGTAACATCCCGTTTCGGAGAAACCCGTATTTTGGTCACAAAAATAATTACGCGATTAAAATCGAGTGTTTCGATGAAAATCAAAATATCGATCGATTGGATGAATATCAATTATTATATATAAATATAGTAATACATATTAAAAGTTATATATATTGATTAGTCTTGCACCCGCCTATGAGTCGCAAAGAGAGGAGTGGGCGGAAAGCAAAACCGGCCGAACACTTTGCATTCATTTAAATCCCTCGTCCATTTTCATATCCCATTATTTTCTTTATTTGTGGTCGTCCTCTGGAGGATCTAGCGGTCTCGCAATTGGGTTGTCTTTGAGGGTAAACAGTTCGGCATCCCTGCGTTGATGCGTCATTTTAACCAGCAATATGAGGAATGAGTTAGTTTGCCGCATACCGGTACTCCTCACGTTACTTTCCCTGATATACATCAACTGGGTCTAGTGGGGGCTGATAGGATTGTTTGTATGTGGGATTGAGCTACGAAGAGTGGGTCTCATTCGACGGGAGGGATTGTTCTTTTGACCCCAGCGAGGGAGATCCTCATGGCTAAGGGGGTCCAATTCCAGGTAATTGATGACCCTAGGTGGTGGAATTGCTCATGCTCAGGGAAGCGATTTTACGGTGTATGGAGCTTGGATTTACGGATGTCATATTTGAAGGTGATGCCTAGGTGATCGTTGACAAAATCAATCGGGTTGATACCAGAGATACCCAGATGGGGGTTGTTCTTGAAGAAATCGTGCGTTATTATAGCTTCCAGTCTGGGTTTATTGTTCGATTTGTAGGTCGGCGTAGCAATAGGGTAGCCCATTTGGTGGCTAGAAAGGCCCTCTCTTTCTATCCGACTATGTGTCGTTTCTTTGATTTTCAGACCTGGCTGAACTCCAAGGTGTAACTATCTTTTGGTTTTAATCAATATATGATTATCCAAATAGTACCGGTTAAAACGGTTACCATGGTAAACAAACCGTTTGAACACCCCTAGGCGTAAGAGTCTATCTGAGATATGACTAAATGCTCGTAACCATTGCCCAACCATAATAAAAAAAAATCTTACCTCTTGGTTTTCATGTTTCCCCGGTTCCCGATCATGTTCTTTATCATTGGTTATTGTATGACTGTCTGGGCTCTCCAAACTCCACCTAATTTTAAACGAAAGCTCAGATGTATTATACATCCATATATTAGAAAAAGAGCATGCTGACGTGCTTAATTTCAACTGACTTCTTAGTTCCATTCTGGCCATTGAAGAATCAATAATAACAAATTTCATTTCTGGCAATGAAGATTGATCACACAGAAAGACAAATGAATATTACCCAACCGACTTCAAGAAAGGATCATGATGAAGGCCAGAAACCCCATATCTACTTAATTTCCCCATTCTCAGATGAGAGACTGACTTAAATTCTTGCCCAACCAATAATATCATAACATCAAATCCCCATCACCCAACTCCTCCTATTAATGAACATCACCATTCACACCCTCCACACTTATTCCCTTCCTTCCATATAATACAATATTTCTAACACACCTTCCTCATTCTCCACCCCAAAAAATGGCTTCACTATCAGACAACTCCCAAACCTCGCCTCCAAACCCATCCTTCGCCATTAGAGACACCACCGACCACCGCCTCACATTCTTGTTAAGAAGCCTCTCCTCCAAAGACCCTTCCGATCATCACAACAATAACATTGACGATGATAATGAAGATTTCCCTTATTACCACCCTTCCCCACCTCGCCTCAGCGTCCAGCACGACCGAAATTATTCCCACCACCACGCCCCTCCTCTCAAACTCCACTCCTCCACCGAAACGACGTCGTCGTCTTCGTCGTACAGATGCGTGGCGTCCACGGCGGTGAAGAAGGACGGGCAGGTACTGTCCATGGCGGCCGCCACGAGCGACGTGGAGCTCCTCTACACGGGGACCGAGGCGAACGTGATACGCGTGTGGAAGCTTGCTCCGGAGCTGACGGAGTGTGGTCAGCTGAAGACGAGGGCCGGCAGGGTCGTGGCCATCCACGTGGCAGGGGACAGGGTTTACCGTGCGTATGGGGACGGGAAGATTAGGGTTTGGCAGCGGACGTGGAGGGATGGTGGTGGTGGGTTCAAGCATGTGAGGGTCGGGACGATTCCGGCCACCGGTGGGGTCGTCCGGAGCTACATCTCCGCCGCCGGGAAGGATAGTAAGACGGTGAGCTAATGCTGATGAGCTAGCTAATTTGAGTAATATTATTGTTCCGTTATTTTTTCGGCCCCTGAAATTTTGTAGTTTTCTCCATTAAGTCTCTGAGTGTTGCTTCTTACTGAGCAAGTCCTTCAACTTTGCAATGTTTTTACTAAATTGATAAAATTTATTGTTAGATACAACCTTCCGCTCATCCAGTTACGACATTGTTTGGCGCAGTGTGAACTATTGAGTTGGCTTGGTCATGAACTCTACTACTTTTTATCGTTGTTTTGTTTGTCTCGTCATTTTCCCCCCAAACAGTTCGTGTTTTATGATTGATACGTAAATTTGATAATATTTTCTCGTATTTTGATACAAAAAGCTCACTTCTCATTCCTTGGAAGTTAATTTTTCCATTTAGGTGACTGAAATGTCCTCCCCCTCCACCCCAAACAAGTGAATAACAACCTCCGACAATCAAATTTGTGAAAGTCAATGACAAATGATCTATTCAGCAAAAAAAGTCACGATCGAAGAGTCTAGGGGCTCACTTGAGCAATATAGTAAAGTATAGGGACCAACCAAGAAAATTGAACCTCTTTTCGTTTTTGTGTTTACATGCATTTACTGTGGACGTGGTACGTTGGTTTGTGGGGAAGGCCCAATATTTATGGGCTTGTTGTTGGTCCTAATATTGCATTATTATCTGTTCACGTGGTCACATCACATCCCACTTGCTCCCACCAAAGGACCTTCATTCATTTCCTGGACCGCCCCTCTATCTATTATGGCTTAGCACTTTTTCACTGTAGCTATATCAGAAAAATTTTACAATGTTATATAGTATGAGTGTTATAGGTTTTTGTCTTTATGGTACAATTTGAAATTGTAACTTTAACGTTATGGTACAACTTCAGATTGTACCTATACATTTTCTGCAAATTCTTTTATGATACATCTTGAACTTGTACATTTATTTGATGGTACAACTTCAAGTTGTAAAGTTGTACCATAACATAATGATATAAATTCTTTTATGGTACAACCTAAACTTATATATTTAATGTCATGATACAACTTTAAGTTGTACATTAAAGCACCAATGCTATATAGCATAGTAGAAATGCTCCAAAATCGAGTACCTAATAATTGCTGCCCTATAACTATAAGATCTGAACATTCGTACATTTTTAGGTAAGTGTTTTTTTTTAAAAAAAGCGTTACTTTTTGCTAGTACTAAAAAAAATGACTATGATAATGAATTTTGCAGAGCAGGCACAAGGGTCCCATCACCTCTCTAGCCATCAACATCGCCGACGACATCCTCTACTCCTCCTCCTTAGACAAGACGGTCAAAGTGTGGCGAATCTCCGACCTCAAGTGCGTCGAGACGATCCCGGCCCACTCCTCCTCCATCAACTCCATCCTCGTCTCCGGCGCCGACGCCCTCCTCTTCACGGCTTCTGACGATGCTACAATTAGGGTCTGGCGTCGTAACTTCTGCGGCAGCACGGGGGGCCGACCGCACGCGCTGGTCGTTACCTTGCCAGCCAAGCAATCGCCGGTCAAAGCCCTAGCGCTGACCGCGGACGGCTCGGTTCTCTACGGAGGGTGTTCGGATGGGTACGTCCACTTCTGGATGAAAGGGTGGCAGCTGCAGTACGGCGGAGCGCTGCAGGGACACACCCACGCGGTCATGGTGGTGGCGGCGGCGCGTGGTGGTGGGTACGTGGTGAGTGGGTCGGCTGACCGGACGTGTAGGGTTTGGAGGAGGGACGTGGATGGTGGTGGGTCGCGACACGTGTGCTTGGCGGTTCTGGTTGGTCATCATGGGCCGGTTAGGAGTCTTGTGGTGTTGGCCGCCACGCGCTCGATGTGGCGCGTTGGTGGTGGTGGTGGTGGTGGTGATCGGGAGGTTGTGAATGATGGAGGTGGTGATGGTGATGATAGAGGTTGTGTTGTTTGTAGTGGTAGTTTGGATGGAGTGTTGAAAGTGTGGAGCGTGACTCGAGATTCCGGCGATGGGAAGGGGGTATCAGACGGCGGCGGCGGCGGTGGTGGTGGGTGGCTGTCCGGGAATGGGCGTGAGTACTTTGAGCTTCAGAAATGAGGTTGATTGGGCGAGGATAAATTAGAGTATTGAATGTCATCAGATTGGTGTTATTAGCAGTTTGTAGTAGTGATGTAGATTTGTTTCAGTTAGGCTTTAGGTGATGATAATCTGATCAAGATCTAGATATATAGCTTAAGCTATCTCCAGATATGGCAGATTTTCCAAGACTATAAACACAGTAGCAAATGTAACAATTTGTATCCAGTTCACCAATTAAATACGGTCTATCTACTAAAATATTCAATTAATCAAGTTCATTTTAAATTCAATTAATTTAATCTAAATTCAATTGCATTGACAGATTTATTGTCAAATGGTAATTTGACACCTAAAATTTACCTTTTAATGTAAACTATTATTGAAAATTATGTTTTGCTATCTTATTTTTTTTTTAGTATGACATATAGTACCTAAAATTTTCACAATTTACACATTGGTCCAACATTGAAAGTCACTATGAATCCAATTCAGCAATTCATTTGCTCCAAATCCATGAATTCTCTAGGCCATCAATTCAGCATACGAATTCATGAATCCAATTCATTTGCCACCCATAGCGGGTGGTGAGAGTAGTGATGAATGATAGTTAGAATGTACGTAGTTGCCTCTACAAATCTAGCTTTATCATCAGTTAAGCTAGCCTGAACATTCACCACGCTGTTGGATTTGCCAGCTATCTAAAGTTTATTTTAGGTTTGAGAATATTGGAAAGAATTTCATAGATAATACATGAACAAGTCTCTATATATTCGTATCAACAAACAAATTAAATGGTGCATGTACGTACATTGAGAGAGAACGTAGCTAAGATGTTGAATTCAGATCAGTATAGCAGCAGCTGGGATGGAGCCTGTAGCAGGACGATCCTGGGACGCCTTGAGCAAGCGGTAAATGGAGTAGCAGAGAATGCGAAAACAAATGAGAATTGCCATCATCACCAGAGCCGTCACAACCACATCTTTGGCTACTGAAGAAGGGGATGATTTGTTGCCGCAGCTGCCAACTTGGAAAATTCGGACACACACCATTTTTATTATTTTTATTATTGATGCTATCTCTGTATTATGTGTGTATTTTGTGGGGGCTAGCTTGTAGGTTGAGGGAACGAGAGAGGAGGGAGGGGGGATCTGCATTGCAGGCTGAATGAATATTCTTGTCTTCGCATTGGATATTTGTCTTTGATTCAATATTTTGCTTGTTTTCCAAGTTTGGTATTTAGAATACTTTTTCAGAGTGCTGAGTTTGTTGAATGTCAACTTGAAGAAAACATATATAAGATGGAACTTTCATTTTCATTGCTGTCAGAATTCTTTTCCAACGTTCTTGTTCTTCCTAGTTTTCATACTCTGTAATCTGTATGGAAAAAAAAACCACAAAAATTTAAAAGATTGTTACTTTCTGACTTTCAGATGTAATTTGCCCGTTTTTTATAAGCAATTTCGTAATGGAAAGAAATAACACCCCAATAAAAATGATTAGATTACGCCTTCAATTCGTTTCCTCACAATATATAACATGGAGTGATGGACCCTCCCTTTTGTATTTGAATTTTGCTAGCCAACTAGCTAATGACTACAGGTACGGATAGCAAAACTGGCTTGACACGAGTGTTTTTATACAGAGGCGATGGGGTCGTTGTCAGCTTGTACTTGTAGGAAACATATATGAGATAGAGTGATGGATAGGGATGGCAATGGGTCGGATTGGGGCGGGTTTTGTCAAACCCAAACTCAAATCCATGAGTTTATCAGCCAAAAAAACCCGGGATAAAACCCGTTGGGTTTGAAAAACTCAAACCCAACCCAACCCGCTGGGTATCCGCGGGTTCATGGGTACCCGTGGGTTTTTGTGGTAAAATATTTACAATAACAAGTTTCTTTCAAAATAAAAGTTTAACATCAATTTTTTCATACAAATTAATCATACAAAAACATCAATCTAGAGCATAAAAGCAAACCGCAAATGATCAATACAAATTGTTCAAAATTAAAGATAAACATCTATAAACAATAAGATTAATTGAAAGCTTCTTCCTCGTCAACTAAGTTTCTTCACTCTTCACTTCATAATACCAACTTCATTCTAAACAATTAGAAAGAACAAATTATACATTTCTCCACAAACATAAAGAATATTAGTTGTTTAAGGAAGATATATTATTTAGAATATTAAATATACCGGGAAAGTAATTATATGTGTGTGGGCGGGTACCCATGGGGCAGGTTTACCTAAACCCAAACCCAACCCGACCCGGTGAATAGTGTAGCGGGTTTAAACCCAAACCCGGACCAGGTTGGGTCGGGTGGGTACCCGTGGGTTTGGGTTTTATTGCCATCCCTAGTAATGGACTCACCCTTTTGTATTTGAATTTTGCTAGCCAACTAGCTCTAAAAGTATGGCATCAAATTTTGAACTGGTAGCATTAATATGATGACTTGATGAGGAATTTTACAATGCTTTAAAGTATTGATGCTTTAGTTTTTACTTTTATGGTACAACTTGAATTTGTACCTTTAACGTTATGGTACAACTTTATGTTGTACCTATATTCTTTTGTAAAATCCCTTTATGGTACAAACTAAAGTTGTACATTTAAGTTATGGTACAACTTGAAGAGTTGAAGTTGTACCACAACATAAAGATCAAATTCTCTTATGATACAACTCTAACTTGTACCTTTAACGTTGTGGTACAACTTAAAGTTGTACATTAAAACACCAATACTTTAAAGCATAGTAGAAAGGCTATGATGATATACCAAATGATTACAACTAATTAATCCATTACCCTAATCCCTAAACTTCAATTTTGAGCACCAACCCTAACTCTCAACCATGAACCCTGACCCTAAATCCATAAAGCCTAAATCCTTAAAATCAAAGTAACTCTTGAATGATTCTTTTGTATATTCATAGGGTTTCGTATCCGTCATATCGTCAAAAGTGACGATTGACATCGCTTTCACAAGAATCGCCTACTCAGAATGATGATTACAAAGAAAGTGCATTGAATGCACCAAAAAAAGTGAGTTCACGAAAGACAAAACTATATACATGGAGATGACTCGTATGCTCCAGATAATCTAGTCATGATATATAATTCGATGAGCTCCGACCAATCTCAACGGTTGATTGTTGTTTTCTCTTGAATGAAATTCGTGTTTGGGTTTAGAGAATCGAGGCCTAGGGTTGCGATGTTGTCTAAATGGTTGTGAAAGTATGCTTCCGAACCAAGTCCTGGTGGCGCAAGCTCATAGACAAGGCTAAGTCCTTGTGATGGTGTTTTGCTGTGTTCCGAGGGCTGGGTTGGCGGATCCAGAAACTTTTTATAGGGGTGTCCTTGCCCAAAAAGAATATTTAATTAAAAATAAATAATTTAATTAAATAATTAATAAATAAAAAAATTAAACTAGTCCACATTTTTAAAAAAGATCACGACATGTTTTCAGATTATAAAAAAGAATATAAAATAGACTCGGTGTATACACTGCTCAACAAATCTGTATATCATACTAGAAAAATTCACGAACTGATCACATATTTAATTTCTAACCTTGTTTTTTTATGTAACTCAAAGTTGAAAAGACTCTTTCAACACTTGTCGTGTAACCATGAAATTAAATCAAATTAAGAGTAACCTGTAATTAGTTTAATTGTTAGGTTTTCGAAATAGTTTGGGATAAGGAATAATTTTTACTATTACATAGTGTTTAAAAAGGAACAACAAATGAGTTGCAACCTAGTGGAGAATACGTTTAATAATAGTAGTATCCTAGTTATGAATAACACAGACTACCACTTATGTTTTTTAATCATATGCAAACTATATGGATATGATAATCGTTTTTTCAAATTTTAGTGGTGTCCTAAATTACTAATTATATTTTCTTTTATACATACAAAACTACTACCGAGGGTTGAATAATCGTTTTCCTAAATTTTAGAGGTGTCGACACCCCTAAAGTCCCATGTATCCGCCCCTTGTGCCTAGTTTTGTTTTGTGAAGCTCTTCTCTTGACAAGATTGCGGGAGCTGCTTCGTGATTTGCTTGCTGTGGGGTTGGCATGGCTTTTTGTTGTTGCCTTTCTTCTGTTGATTCCCCTGTTTGGGTGTATGTTTTTTTCTTGTTGTGTTTCCTCCATGATGGATAAACTCTTATGATCCTTTCTCATGATGCTTGTTCATCTCCTTTTTTTCTTAATTTTTTTCACCCTGATAAAAAAAACATGGCCAATCTGTTGTATTGATGGCATATATCATCTAAAAAATGTCACGATTAATTTATTCTCTTTCACAGAAAAGATTGCATACATTTACATCTCACCTGTATCAACTTAGCCTATGTTAAGATTGGGAAACAGTGCGGTTTGCGGTACAGACCGAGAGGCTAGAGCAGAGATCATGGACCAGACCATATACAATATGGTCTAGACCAGACCAAGGTGCGGTCCGGTATATGGCATGGACCATAAAGGCATGGACCATGTTCAACACTCAACATTCTATTACCATCAAACAAGAGGAAGATGAATTGGAGGGAGAGGCAACTCACGATTGAGAGATGGAGGTCAGAGGGAGTGGTCTTGTTAGCGGGTGAAGCAAATAACGATTGAGGCATTGAGGGTCGAAAGCTTAGACCAGACTGGTTGGAGAAGAGGAAGGGTCGTCGGAATTTCTCCGGGGAATTGAAGAGGGACTGGACGGAGGGAGTGCTAGGATGGAAGTGGACGACGGATAGGATGACCATAGGAGAAATGAGCACTTCTACTATGCTATATAGCATTGGTGCTTTAATGTACAACTCAAAGTTGTACCATAACATTAAATGTATAAGTTTAGATTGTACCATAAAGCAATTTGTACCATTATGTTATGGTACAACTTTACAACTTGAATTTGTACCATCACATAAAGGTACAAGTTCAAGTTGTACCATAAAAGAATTTATGCAAAAAATATAGGTACAATATGAAGTTGTACCATAACGTAAATGTACAATTTTAAGTTGTACCATAAAGGCAAAAACCTATATCACCAATACTATATAGCATTGTAAAATTTCTCAGGAGAAATTGGGCCTTGGGTGGGACTAAGCTAGGGTCTGGGAGTGGGTTCCTGTCGCAAGTCCACAACCCTACCCTAGTAGATTAGTAGTTATTGGGCTTACAGTCTGGACGGTTAACCACATTCTAGACCAGACCAAATTGTTCCAGACCATAAAGTAAAGAGACAGACCATGGACCAGACCGAATTGTATTCATGGTCTTATGGTTCAAACCGTACGGTACGGTCTAAACTATAGTTTGTCATTCAGTTTGGTCTAAATTCTCAGCCCTAGTTTATGTAAGAAAACTTATTAACAACAATTAAATCATTAAAACTTTTCAGCTAAATTATTAACAAAAAAACATTATTTTAATAGGGAAGGAGTACAAATAGGAAGTACCTAATAAACAATGTGCTTGGCGAATCAAACTAAACCATTAAATTAGCAACACATGACAACTAGTCACAGACACTAGGAAGTATTAATAAGAACCACTAAAACCAATGAGAAAGCAAATTATGATGACCATACTTCACAGACTGAAAATAGAAAAAACAGAACACACAAATTTAGCAAGTCAACCCTCAAAACAACAACCGTTTTTAACTGCCTTAAGTCTTAACCTACAATATATATACTATAACCCACCTCCTCTCTTCTTCCTATCAAACAAACCAATAATAATAAAAAAATCAAACTTCACCCCCTAAAAAAAAACTAACTTTTAAAAAATGGGAATCCCAAACAAACCATTGTTGTTGTTCCTCCTAATCATCACCATCACCTTCTCTTCTCTTCTCACACTCTCCGCCTCCCATTCTTCCCCTTCCCCATCCCCATCCTCCGCCGCAGATGACGACGAAGAAACCACCGCATCATCACCATCATCTTCCACCGGAGAAGAAGAAGTAGAAGAAGAAGAGGAAGAAACAGACGCTACTGATTCCTCTCCATCTCAATCTCCCTTGTCGTCGTTGTTCGGATCCCCCAGCCCGTCTCCCGACCCTGCCTTGAAATTCTCCTCCAAGTTCCACCGCCGGATGCAAGAGACCGCGGCGTCCCCGGCGGCGGCCGACCGCTCGTCGAAGCTGGTGGCCCAGCTCTGCGCCGGGACGGAGAACCCGGCCAGGTGCACGGCGTACTTCCACTACTCCAAGTCCGACGACGCGGCGCAGATCATCGACGCGGAGCTGGGCACGCTGAACACGCTGCTCATTGAGGCCAGGTCCGCCGCCGTCAGGGCCCAACATCAGGGCCGGGCCTCCCCCGACGTGGCCCATGGGCTCGACGTGTGCGTGGAGAATTACGACAAGGCCAACGCCAACCTGGACCGGGCCTCCGTCGCGTGCGCCAAGTGCGTGGGCCCCAACAAGGCGACGGAGTGCACGGCGAAGGAGGTCGGGGAGGTGAAGACGATGCTGAGCGCCGTCATTAGCAACATCGGGTTCTGCGACGAGGCCTTCGACGGCCAAGGATTGCCCCGGCCGCCGACCAAGGCAATTAACGAGGCCGTGGTTGAGCTGGCTGACTGGTTGTTGGAGTTCTCCAAGAAATTGGATGAATGATCCGTTTTCCTCCATGACCTGGTGGTCTCCCTATTTTTCGTGATGCTTTAATTGATTAGATATATATAATTAAACATGTGTTGGATCTGATTCATGTATGATGATCGTTATTAAAATATATACATATACGGGTGTTTTTTTTTTGCATGATATTATTATACGAATACATGTAGGCTATCGGGCAATTTTGTAGACAGGTTGTTTCAATAGATGATATATTCGCATTTCAAGTAATTTGATTGTCGGATATGTGCTTTCTTTGTATTTTGGTAAATTTTAATTGTCAATTATTTTATTTTGATTAGATCCATCTTCGAATCAGGATTTAGAAAATTGGCAATAAGAGTTTATCCATTAAAAATCAGATCATAATATCATATTTCAAACTCAGTTTAGCTCATGATTTGGATAAAGATATCTCACTATCTATATTTTGAATATTGTATATATTTTCTTATTATACCATTGCAACTTGGAAGAAATTCTTGCACGTAAATGATTTTCGGGGTAGATTTTTTATACTATTACCGAAGAAGGCGTTAATATTAATCAAAATAATAGAATAAATATATTTTAAATATTATGATAACCGTGATTTTTATAATAAAATTAAACAAACAAATTAATAGTTATGGGCTAGTTTGGCATGCTGTAGTTTTTGCAGAAGCAGATTCTGACTGTAGTTTTAAGAAAAGTAATTAAAAAGAGAAATTCAACTTTTATTAGATCGATCTTTGAATTTCATTTTGAAAATTTAGAGTCAGAGTTTATCCATTAAAAATGGGGAAATAATATCATGTTAGAAACTCACTTACTCATGGTCTACATAAAGACTAGCCATATTCTGAGTAGGGTTGTCTATTTGGTTCGAATTTTCCAGTTTAACCCGAAATCGGATCGTATAAAACCGGACAATTTGAGACCGAAACCGAATGTAAAACAATTCAATCTCATCTTTGGTCCTAAAAATAGTTAAAAAATCGGATCAATCCAATCCGTTTTAAAACCGGATCAAAACCGTATAACCGGATGAACTTTAAATATATGTAATGTGACCAATGTGAAAAAGGAAACATGTAATTTTTTGTGAACAAGAAGAAAACAGGGGAAGAACACAGACATTGGTTTCCTTAATAAATAATAATAAATAGCAAAAATTCGCTCGCTATCGCTTCGCTATTAGAAAAATAAATATTTTAAAGAGTAATAGTTTTAATGTTGACCAAAAAGTGAAAGTAATTATATTTCATTTTTGTCATAGGTTTGTTATTTACAATAGCATATGGTTGATAAACTTGCATAAGGTAGAAGGGTCATCGAATATATTATTTATGTTTAAACTTCTTTCATGATGCTTAAATTTGTTTGGCTAATAATTGATCATGCTGTAACTTTTGCATAATGAGGCAGCTTTAGCGGAAAAACTATTAGAATTACTTTTTTTTTTTTGGCATAGATAGATGAAAATAAATAGTCAGAGAACATCACACAACCAAACGCGCCAGTCGACAAATAGTCGAACTGCCGATAAAAGGGCCTGTTGTGCCACTAAATGGGCAGCCCTGTTAAACCTGCGAGGAGTAAAAGTACAAGAAAACACTGTGAACGAAGACACCGCCACGCGTATCTCCTCCAAGATCGCTCCACCCCGTCCATGTGCCACATCCCTCTCCCGTACAGCTCGCACCAATGTTTGGCAATCCCCGCAGAAATTCACAACCAGGAAACCATGCATCAGACACCAATTTACTGCATCACGAAGTGCTAACAATTCCATAAGGAAAGGATCATCGATACCTGGATAGTGTTTGCCAAACGCGAATAGCAATTCACCATTCATTGAAAAGCCCCCAAAGCCAATACTCCCTCCTGCTCCTTGTCTCCATGCTCCATCCACCCGTACTAGTACCCCACCCGGAGGGCACTTCCCGTCGCGGCCCGATTGTCCGCCCGACGCAGCTTGCCGGCCTTGGTGAGTGCGATTATGGGGTCCCTGATGTAAGGCAAGAGGCTCTGTGGCAGCCCGCCATTCCTCCACCTGAGCTCGAAATTGCCGAAGTAGTGCTGGCCCCAAGTATTGTATCCGTTTATGAACCGCCCAACATCTCGATTTCTAAACTCGCCAACATAAGAATAAAACATTAGCAATCTCATTTTTGTTAAGATGACAATCAAAGAACAGGACCCACCAACACTCAGAGTGGGAAAGCGATGATAACCTTGTACGCAACAGGCCCAATTCCGCACGCTCCCACAGTTCTACAACAACCCGGCAATGAAGGAAAGAGTGCATAATGCTCTCACTGCCAGTAGAACAGACGGGACATGTACTATCATCCACTAACCTCTTGAACTGGAGCACTTCACGTACCGGCAGAAATCCCCTGGCTATCCTCCAACAAAAAACACGAAGCTTCGGCGGTAGTGGCAGATGCCAAAGGACTTTCCAGAATCGCTTCTCATAAGGTATGTTCCGCGGCGGATGCGACCTGTTCAACTCTGTCGACAAGAGTTGGTACCCCGTCTTGACCGTGTATTCACCTGTCTGAGAATAATGCCACACCAGCTTATCCGGAATAATCTGCGTAGGTAACGGTATAGACAAAATCAAAGCCACAGATTCCGCTGTGAACAAGCTATGCAAAATGTCAATTTTCCAAGCATGAGTCAGGGGGCAAATTAGCTCAGAAACAAAAGTGAAAGGAAGGGAGATGTAGGAAGCAGTACAGGAGAAGATGGAGGGGAAGATGGTAGCCACTTATCTGTAAGGATATGCACTGCTGCCCCATTCCCGATCCTCCAACGTAGACCACGAGCCAACAAGTCCCGGCCCTCGAGGAGGCCCTGCCAGGCCCACGATGGACGAGAGCCCTCCCGTGCAGCAAGTATTGTCGAAGAGTGATGATATCTAGCCTTGTATAGCGATGCAATTGAAGAATCAGGGAATTGCAGCAGCCGCCAAGCCTGTTTAGCTAGAAGTGCGATGTTAAATCGATCAAAATCCCTAAATCCCAGCCCTCCCTCAAATTTACTATGACATACTTCAGGCCAAGCTAGCCAATGTATGCCCTTTTCTTTATCTTGATCAGCCCACCAGAACCGCGCCAGTTGACTGTTCATCCTGCGACAGGATGTAGAGGGAATACGGAAGGCTGACATGGCATAGATTGTTGAGGCAGATCCGACGGATTTGATCACATTAGAATTATTTCAAATTAAATAATACTATTTTCAATTAATTTTTTATAATGATATAAATGAAAGAAAATTATGTTTTCTAGAAAAAATTATCTATGGTAAGAACAATTTTGTATTTTCAAATCAGAGCTTCTGCTTTTAAGTTATGAATAACTTCAGTTTTTTAAAAGGCAAAATACACTTGTATAGTCATAACTTTCACGTTTTTGACAAATATAGCCACATCTATTCGAAAACACGAAATAGCCAAGAAAATGGATGGTCATGTGACAAATCTAGCCATTTCCGTTAGAAACTTTAACGGTGTTAGAAACTCCGTTAGTTAGGTTAACATTACGCTGACTAGGATCCCAAATCATCGCACACGTCAGCGTATCATTGCCACGTCATTTTAAATTATTTAAATAATTAATTTTGAAATATTAAAATAATTAATTTTGAAATAAATAAAAATTCACTAATTTCCCCCCTTCCCTACCGATTCAACTAGCATCAACCCCAGACACTCCCCACCGCCTACTACCCAAACCCATTGTTCACCAGAAAACCCCAAAAAATTACCCCTATTCTTTTAACTAAAGTCTAAAACCCTTATAATAAGCTCAAATCCCCTTCCTCATCCAAATCCACCAATTTATTATGTTAGCCAACAGAGTAGTGGTGGAGTCGTTGATCCAGAGAGGAGAATCTCTCGCCGGCAGCGTCAATAATATCAGAATCAAGAATTGGGGTTTAGTCTTCTTTCCTGCCGTTTTAGTCCCTTCCTTTCCTGCTACCCAGTCGGCGTATATGAAGGCTACAGCGATGATGTCCGATCCTTCCCTGCCGCTGACCTCTTTGATCTCGTGAACGCGTTCCTCGAAAGAGAATACAAGACCACAACGAGAAACAACAGGCCCAATCTTTTGCGACAACAACGACGCTGGATCTCGTTTGAATCGCAACATGTGTAGCCTTCGAAAGATGGGATCGAAAGCCCTCCAATGCTATCGATGAAGAATATTTGTTATGTAATTGAAATCCTACTTCAAGTCTTGATTCGCAGTCCCATTGTTGGTAGGGGAAGAAGAAGGCCTGTGGAGTAGTTGCAGCCGCCGCCGTGGGCTTTGGATTGGAACGACGATTAAGAAGTGGGGACGTATCTGGCAGAGAGGAGGTGGTCGTGGGTTCTCAAGATTTCGACGGCTTCCGTTGGGGAAGAGGCGACGAGCTGGTGGCCCAACCGGAGGTGGTGGTCGGTTCTTGGATGACGACGAGGATGTTGATAGAGAGTGGGAGGAGAAGAAGATAAGAGTTGCACAGATTGCTTTATAATTTTTTATTTTAATTTTTTGATCTCTTCCCCAGTTGCTCAGTTGCTTTATGATTTTTTTTATTTTTTTTAATCCACGTTAGTTGGCGGGGACAGTAACTCACAAGATCAACATCTTCCGTTTGTACAGTCATACCGTCAACTGACGCCGTTAACAAAATGGACGGAATTGGTTATTTTTGGTTTTCGAATAGTTATGGCTATATTTGTCATAAACGTGAAAGTCATGGCTATACAAGTGTATTTTGCCTTTTTAAAAAGCGAAACTTTAGAGCTGTTTGGCTTGGTTTCAACTTTTGAAACATAAAACTTCTAAAATTCGGGCCAAACATAGTCTTACTCTTTTGGTTTTTTTTTTGTTTGAGGTAATCATGGTTCTCCTTTATGAAAATTTTTGGACTTATTGCAGGTTTGAGGAGCTTAACCTCGCATTGATCGGGTCAAATTAGGTTGGATACCCATAGATTTGGTTTCAATTGTCTTTCTCAAA